AGCTTAGTGTTTATGTTTTATTGATTGTTATTGATTATATTAAAAAACGTATATTTATTAAATATTTAAAGATAACTACTACTACTATTAAAAGAAAATCAAGTTTCTGAAAGAATTGAGTGGACACAGTGCTATCCATTTTCCTGATCACAGTAAGGAGGAGTCCATGCAAACTCCTGTGTTCTCCTCCTCTACTTAACTGACTCCACAGAGGAGGACAGAGATCAGTGGTCACACTGTTGAACATGATGGAGTACAGGACAGGACTGCTGCTGTTAGCTGTCTGCTGGGCAGGTGAAGGGCTTTATCTCAGCTTAACCTAGAATCAGTCAAGTTCCAGCACAAACAGAATTTCTCTCTCTGTTTTCAACAGGTGTTGATGGTCAGAGTCTGACACAGTCTGAAGCAGTGGTTAAAAGACCTGGAGATTCACACAGACTGACCTGTACAGGCTCTGGATACACATTCAGCGACTATGGCATGCACTGGGTCAGACAGGCTCCAGGAAAAGGACTGGAGTGGATTGCTTTCATTCACACAGGCAGTAGCCACATTTACTACTCTGACTCAGTCAGAGGTCGGTTCACCATCTCCAGAGACGACAGACAACAACAGCTGTATATGCAGCAGTCTGAAGACTGAAGATTCTGCAGTTTATTATTGTGCTCGAGACCCACAGTGACTGAAGTTGGTTTAACAGCTGTACAAAATCCCACCCTCTAAGTATTTACTGAACTGACAGACCATTAGGAGAGATGATTCAAAAACATGATTGCGAATTCCAACAGTTAGACTCACACAGGAAATGGAATTAATAATTGATAATACCATGTTATAATAAAGTGTGACCTTGTGGTTGTCAGTGTCCTCAGTGGATCATTATTATATAACCCACAGGAAAACAAGCCTCACCACAGCAGGTGTTTCCACAGTCATCTGTCAAACTGAAACGTTAACCATTGAAAGTCAGTAGTCCATATATCAGTACCAATAACTGTGTACAAAAGATATTGTACACAGCAAAAATAATCATTTTACAATCAAAAATGGCAAACTGTTAAAATGATCTCAGATTAGTTTCCCTTACATGTAATGATACATACATAATGATCAGCCTGAAATTCCACCAAAAAGATTTCGAAAGAAGAACAGAAAGGAGAAGAAAAAAAGATCATAATTTCCTTTTATACAGTAAAGCATACTGTGATCGATGCCTTTCAGGAAGAAGTTTTTGTACGAGTGTGTTAAATTTTACAAAACAGAAAACATAAGTGCAAAAGAAACAACACTGGTTTGATATCTTCCAATTTTTTTCACATTTTAATATATTTGCAGTATGTATGTACACACACCAGCACACATATATATAAACTATATCTATATGTATATATATTTTCACATATGTATATGAATTCTGTATTCTTCATTCAACACTTTACTATTAAAACTTCTGCTGTGACCTGACACTGTCACAGCAGGCAGAGGTTTTTGTACGAGTGTGTTCTGCTGTGTATATATACACGGGTGGGACACAGTGGTACATGGCAATACAAAAACTGCTCCCTGACTTATGTCAAGTTGTACTTTTCCTGAAACAAAAATGTAAATATTACAGAAGAAAAAAAATGAGCAGAAGAAATATAAATACAAATACACGTTTTTAGATTTTAGGGTTATCTCCATTTTGTTCTAAGTAACAATTAACTTTTTTTTTCACGCCTTTTTTCATGTCTCACTGGATACAAGCTCTTATATATAATCTAAACCTACTGCTTACCTACTTATATTAATCATACACATTCACTACACAGTGATTTGTTTGAATTAAAAATGAATAAAACAAAAGTTAGAATTAGAAAAAAATGATCAGAGCATCAGTAACACAGAAGCTGATCTCACTCTGAGGCAGAGGTTTTTGTACGAGTGTATTCTGCTGTGCATATATAGCAGCTGGGTGGACACAGTGATATACACTAATACAAAAACTACAGCCACCCTTAACTGACATGTCTTCCCCTTTCTTAGGTACAAGTGTAAAACAATTCGCTCATTTTATAAATAGAAAAGCCACAAAACAAAAAAACATGAATGTATTTTTTTTCCATAAATGTGTGTATGTGTGTGTGTGTGCGTGTGTGTGCGTGTGTGTGTGCAGCAAGACATAGAAGACGTAGACGTAGAAGCTGGAGAATGCAGGTCAGAGTATGGAGACATCAGCTGTTCAGTCAGTGAATGGTGAAGGTATAAACAAGAAAGCTTGACATCTTGTGCATACGAGAAACCAGCAGGAAAGGAAGCAAGTGGACATTGTTGTGGCCACTGAGAAGGAAGATAACACTTCATGTCCAACATCAGAAGAATATACACGCGTGGGTTTTCTGTTTCTGTCTTTTAAGCAGGAAAGGTAAAAATGAAAGCTTAAGACAATGTTTGTTTGTTTTTTTGCTTACTTTATGCACAATAGCAGCCTATTTAAACAGACAAAATAAAATAAAATTTGGTGTACTGTGATGTGTGTCTTTTACAGACATGATTCAATGTTTGTATGAATTTGACAAAACATGGCTTTTTTGTTAATTTTCATCAAAAACAAATAGTGATGAGCTTAAAATGGATAGATTGATTCAATCCAGTTACATTCATTGAGTTTTAAGTAGTTAAAAGAACTAAACAAAGTCCTGTTGTGAGGTGGAACTGTCAGGCAGAGGTTTTTGTAAGAGCATGTTCTGCTGTGTATAACTGGGGTGGCACAGTGATATATGCCTGTACAAAAACTACTTGGAGATCATATATCTTATTCAATATTGGGGGAAAAAGGAAAAAGAATCTTGTGTTATCTACAACTGTTAAAGTTTGTTTAACCAGAAATTACAGTAGTGCTGTCAAATAGTTAACAAATAGTTAACACCTTAATCAAGTTATTATCTTGTGATGCAACAAATTTATGTTTATCAGGACGTGAGTCGTAATTTTGACACATTTCCAAATGAATAATTCCATCGCTTAAATCATATCTCAAACAAAGATAGATGTGAAACAGTATCTGGAGCCTATATGTAACCTCTCTAAGATGTTGAATCCATGAGACAGTGTTTAGCGATGCTCCAATGGTTGGTGCGCCCATTCAGTTAATTAGAGTTTAACGTGGGTGTCAAACTCAAATTCACAGTGGGCCAAAATAAGCAAACTGGGACGAAGTCGCTTTATATTTATTGAAAAATTGACGGCAATTGTCCAGATATGTAATGTTAATTTTTTTTTCATATGGATTATTATTTTTGAATAAACATTGAATCTAGAACAACAAAAGCTTAATATTATAAACAGAGGAATTCAATTTGAAATAAAACACACATCAGTAGTATTTGTTTCTCATTATGTCTCTTTATTTGTTGAGTTATAACATAGCGCACACACCACTAATACTACATTCCTGCCAGTATATAGGGCCTATATTCTGGCGGGCCAGCTCTAGTACACATTTGATATGATCTCGCGGGCCAAATATAATTACTCTGCAGGTCAGATTTGGCCCGAAAGCCTGAGTTTGACACGTGTTTTAAGATGTTCCCTGTGTGGAATGCATTTTGATGTTAACAGCAGCAGGTGCCAAGTCCAATATGTATGTAGAACACATGTTCAACTTAAAGCTGTAACATTTGTAATCCTTATATGGATACAGATCAGATGTGATTAATTTGTGGACTCAAATGTCTCCAAATTAGGAACAGATCATACATCTCCAAGGAAGAGAATATAAGCAGAATATAAGAATTTGGTGTCAGTGGAGATTTCTTCACTCTTCATACTGAATATACATCACCAACACTGAAACAACCACAACAAAACACAGACATCTACCTGCTGTTATTTGCCTTTCTGTTCAAGCAATAAATATAAAAACAATTGTGATTAATTAACAGAAGAACTTGGGCCTACACCTCACATTTTCCACTTGGCCTGTATGGTATCACATGTATGGTATCACATGGTTTGTTGTTAACTGTACTACTAACTTGTTGACTTGTTAAACAAATAAAATGGCTGTAGAATCACATTTGGTGCTGCTGACTGACACTTTAAATGTAGGGAGTATGTATTTTATTCTAGGAGTGTAACCCAAAAGTGAAAGAACAACACTCCAGGGGAAGATATGGTTGGCTTGCTTTACTAGGAAGATTACTATACAGTTAAGGAGAAAAGAGGAAGTGAGTTGTATAGCAGTGTTGTAGAAAACAGAGCAAAGGAATTGAGAGATGTGGTGATGTGTTGACAATTATAAGGAAAGTTTAAAAAGGTTGGCAAAAAAAGTAGAATCTCCAGAAGACAGGAATTATCAATATCAAGGAGCTAAACGCAATGATGTAGCTTACAAGGATGCTCAGCAGGTTAGGGGGATAAAGAATAAAGATGAAAATCTACTTGTACAAGAGCAAAGTGCTACACTTCACCTGCACCCAGCACAGATGTTGCACCACTGTGCAGACTGAATATTCTTTCTTCATCTTTGGCTTGTAATATCTAATATCAGTCTTGAAAAACAGGTCGAGAAAACAAATGACTCATCTGAACAGGTTGTGCTCTCTGCTTAAGTCCCTAAATTTCCAAAAAAACACAACAATTACATTTTCAATTACAATGCTAAAAAGTCCTACCTGGAAAATAAAGGTGAATACTGACTATATTTCTGCTACAGCACTTTTGGGAAGTCTACCAAAGCCTTTACATCATTACACATAACTGAGGAAGTGAAGTGTCTCCAGGGAAAACTGCTAAATGAATAAATAGTTGAGCGGACACTGCTGTGAAAAGCCTGAACATGAATTTTAAGTTTAAGCACACGTTTTTTCAATGGTGTACGAGGGGACGACTGCACCACTTTAATTTGATGGTTACATCTCTGTCTACAACATGACAAAGCTCACTGTCAGGGTGAACTGTGTTTCTGTACTATGGTATGTGGTAGGAAGAAAGCTGATTATGGTTTTTGCACTGAAGTGCTGCTAAAAGCTGCCACTGTGACTACCTCGATGTCTGGGGAGCAGGAACAATGGTCACCGTCGCATCAGGTAAAAGAAACTTTTATTACCTGTCTGCTCCTTGATTTTCTTTTTTCTGTTTTTTTTCCTAAGTTCCATTTTAATGGCGATAGTCAATGTGCATTAATCCGTTTGTCAATACTGTGAGAAGGTTTTTGAGTACTAGGGAAAAGGCACGATGGTCAGAGTAACATCAGGCAAGCCATTCAATGTTTCCATATCTTTTTTAGAGATTCAAAAATGTTTTCATAGAAAATCTCTCGTAAGTATGTAAGAAACACACGTTGGAGTGTGCGAATATGTGTTAATGTCCTACTCAGATTTCTATAATATATGAAATCTTCTTTATAGTTGATAAAACTGTAATAGTAAAATATGTCGGGAGAGGTTTTTGAATGCAGTGGGTATTTTTTGGTTTCACTGTGATGATGGTGACCTTGATGTCTGGGGGAAAGGAACGATGGTCACAGTAACATCAGGTAAGAAATACATTTTCTTTATTATGTGTGGACATTTTTATTCAAAAATACATTTTTTTCCAAAAAAACAGTAAAGGAAAATGAAGTGTCTTAGTCAATGTTCAGTCAATATCCCGTTATCTGGTTTGTAATTCTGCATTGTTCTGTGTTTTAAATTTTTAACCTCTACAAAGATATTGGCAGACATTAAATATGTCTGCCGAGGTTTTTGAATGAAGTGGGTATTACTTAGTTTCACTGTGACTATGATGCTATGGACGTCTGGGGGAAAGGAACGATGGTCACCGTAACGTCAGGTAAGAAGTTATTTTTCTACACTTTATATGGAGATTTTAAATTCACAAAATGTTTTTTTCCCCAAACAAAAATGTAGAGGTCTTTTTTATGGTGTGTTAGTCAATGTTCAGTCGATATCCAGTTATCTGGTTTGTAATTCTGCATTGTTCTGTGTTTTAAATCTTTAAACTCTACAAAGATATTGGCAGACATTAAATATGTCTGCCGAGGTTTTTGAATGAAGTGGGTATTACTTAGTTTCACTGTGACTATTATGCTATGGACGTCTGGGGGAAAGGAACGATGGTCACCGTAACGTCAGGTAAGAAGTTATTTTTCTACACTACATGTGGAGATTTTAAACTCGCAAAATGTTTTTTTCCCCAAACAAAAATGTAGACGTCTTTTTTATGGTGTCTTAGTCAATGTTCAGTCAATATCCCGTTATCTGGTTTGTAATGCTGCATGTTTCTGTGTTTGAAATCTTTAAATTCTACAAGAACATTGTGACAGAGGTTAAATATGTCGGCCAAGGTTTTTGAATGAAGTGGGTATTACTTAGTTTCACTGTGACTATGGTGCTATGGACGTCTGGGGGAAAGGAACGATGGTCACCGTAACGTCAGGTAAGAAGTTATTTTTCTACACTACATGTGGAGATTTTAAATTCACAAAATGTATTTTTTTTTCAAAGAAATGTCAAGGTTCCTTTACAGTTAATGGACATTAAGTGTCTTAGTCAATGTTCAGTCAATATCCCGTTATCTGGTTTGTAATGCTGCATTGTTCTGTGTTTGAAATCTTTAAATTCTACAAGAACATTGTGACAGAGGTTAAATATGTTGGTCGAGGTTTTGAATGTAGTGGGTATTACTTAGTTTCATTGTGACTATTATGCTTTGGACGTCTGGGGGAAAGGAACGATGGTCACCGTAACGTCAGGTAAGAACTGTAGAACTTTAAATGTAACATTTTTATAGTAAATTCTAAATTGCATGACAATGTCATAGCCTCATTTAAATGAAGAAATCTTTTGACAAATAATGTGTAATTTAACAAATGTTTTTTGTATTTTAATTTTTTTTAAAAAAGAAAATCGTATTACTGTTCAGTTAAGTATTAACATCACTCTGGGTTAGGCGTGTGCTGACCACTGGATAGTGTGACAGTAAACTGTAACTACTGGGCTACGGAATGGGCAACATCGCCAATTTTAATTTTCTTTTACCAAACTACGTTGTAATGGTTTGTAGAAGCAGTTATGTTTTTTTGGCATGTGTATAAATTGACTCATTGAGCGTTGATAACCGGTATCTCTACCACTGGGGAAAATACATGCTGGATACTGTCACCTAAGGTAAGAATTTTAGATGGTGAAACTTTTTTTTTTTATGTAACAACTATATCGTTTTGTTCCGTTAGTTTTTTTTTCTGCAAAAAATCCTAAAACTCCACCTAAAACTAAAGTATTATCTCTTTAAAATAAAACTGGATAATTTGTGCCATATGTGGCGATGAAATGTATGTATTCTTTTGATTAATTCAATGAGCTTACAGCGAAATTAATTGAAAGAATGTCGCTACTGTATTAATAAATTGAAAATTCCAAATTGTTCCATTTCGTCCTTTTGACTTTTACGATACAGGGACAACAGTTTCTGCAGGTGGTGGGGAAACTTTTTTAAACAAAAAATGTATAAAATCAGTTGCACAAACATTAGTGTTGGTTTAGACAGTGGCGTCAACTTTAAACTGTTGATTATCCTTTTTAAACTGAATATAACGTCGGATAGACTAAATAATTCCAGCATGTATCAGGTAAAGTATACATTTGAACTTGTTTGTCTATCGGTGTTTTAAACTCTGGTGAAATGTATTTTGTATTTAAGGCATATTAGTGGGTTGTCCTTTTGTAACAAAAAAAAAAAAAACTACAAAATGTGTGTAAGAAATTTCTTCTCTATCTCTATCTACCTACCCAGCTACCTTCAACATAATGTCACATAACATAATCTTTTTATTTGTTTGTTTGTTTTTTAGCCACTGCCATTATACCGACTGTATTTCCCCTGACACCATGTGGTAATGAACTTGGAAGTACGGTCACTGTTGGCTGCCTGGCCACTGGCTTCACACCATCCTCAGTAACATTCAGCTGGACCCTCAACGGAGTTGCTCTGGATTCCGTACAGTACCCTTCAATGCTGAGCGGCAACACTTATACAGGAATCAGTCAAATCCAAGTCAGTAGACAAGACTGGACAAAAGAGAAGATCTACAAATGTAAAGCCAAAAACACTGCAGGAGAGGTTGAGAAGAACGTCGAGATAGTCGGTAAGGCCAATATTTAACATTTTATTTGTTCAAGTGAAGTACATTTGTTTATTGACATGGCAGAGTTTTCAGTAGGCAATGATTCTAAAAGTATATTTATTTTAAAAACTGGTAAACAGTGAATTGTAAGATATTGATACAATTAGTAGGAACAAATGTTGAAAAGTAAACACTAAAATGTTAATAAATTAATTTGAAAATTATTATTATATATGTAGTATAATCTATCATGTATTTCCCATGTTTTTTTAATTACAGAATTTGTAAAGGATGAATAGTCAGATATTACTAAAATAGTTTTATATATATATACATATATAGAGAGACTAAAATAATGTGCTGTGTAGTTTGCAATAATACAAATAATGATAGTTAATTTAATTTAATTATTATTATGTTGTAGGTGGATTTGGAAGCTAAAAGCTGAAACCTGCTTTTTATTCAGCTTCTGGTTTTTTTCCCCTTTATTAATATACTCTAATGTTTGTTCTTTGCTCTTGTCTGAAGACAAAGTTTTAGATGTGGTCTGCTTACGACGCCCCTGTCATCACACACCTCCTTACAAACTCTTCAGTCTCTGTTTGCTTGCTTGAAAAGTAAATGTATATGCAGAAGTCAGGGTAAAACCATTGTTTTTGTTTGGTTGGTTTTTTTTTTTTAACAAAATTGTATCTAAGTAACAGTTTTTCTTTGATCAGAACATGTATTTACTCAGGCATGTTGCATAACTGTGTTAACGAACACATGCTTCTACATCCAGGTCACCTGATCCAATATATCTATTTTCATCTCTGCTTCTGCATATATAAATTACTTTGCTTCTGCATGCATACTGTATATCTGTGGATGTGTTTGTCTTTCAGAACCATTTTACAAAGACCCAGAACTTAAAGTGTTGGCCAACTCTGAAGACAAAGTTGCCTCCTTTGTCTGCGTGGCGGAAAACTTTTCACCAAAACATTACGATATCCAATGGCTGCTGAACAACAAGGAAATCAGTGGCCAAATAAGTGAAATCAGAACACAGACTGAGGGGCAAAAAACTGAGAATGGTACAGTTTACAGTGCAACAAGTTTTCTCACACTGCCGTCCAAAAATGTGCCCACTCCGAGTAAACTCACATGTAGGTTCAAAGGGAAAAACGCCGCAGGTGACAAAACAACAGACAAACCGTTTACCTACAACCCTTGTGCTTCATGTGGTGAGTAACCTTGATCATTTTCCCAGATTTTTTTGTTTTATTGTAATAACAATGATTCAACAGTAGCCTAATATGTTTGTTGATTTGTTGTTCAGGCAGTACAGGATGCATGTCTACAGATGCTGACATACACATTGAAGAGCCATCACTGGAGGATCTGTTTTTGAACTTGAAAGGATCAGTGATATGTCTGGTCAACATCAGGAAGCCAGTGACTAAAGTTTACTGGGAAGACGAAAATGGAAACAAAATGGCCAGCTCCTCTGTGGTACCTGATAATCAACAATCATCAGTTGTTCTTCCGCTTGACATAACATACAACGAATGGAGTCAGGGGATTAAGTACTTCTGCGTGGTTCAAGGTCCCAATATTCTAATGAAGAAAGCCTTCGAAAGAAATATTGGTAAGATGTTAAATCCATTTCTCACTAGAAAGAAAGTTCCTAAATGTTTTCTTTTTTCATGCCATTACACATGTTCGGATTGTATGTATAACTCTACATTTTGAACTGTAGTTACATTTGCATGTGGCAGTAGGTGTTAATTTTGCTCTGGTGTTTGCAGAACGGGATATCCAAAGTCCTTCCGTGTTTATGATGACACCAGTAGAAAACACTAAGAAAGAGACAGTAACCCTGACCTGCTATGTGAAAGACTTCTACCCTAAGGAGGTTTTGATCACTTGGCTTGTTAATGATCAAGCAGTAAACCCCACACATGACTTCAATACCACCAGCCCTATAGAAAGCAATGATGGATCCTATAGTGCTTATGGCCATATGTCACTCAGCTTCAAGGAGTGGCACGATAACGACATGGTGTACAGCTGTGCAGTTTACCACCAATCTGTGGTCAACAATACCAACAAAGTTATCATCCGATCAGTCGGCTACAAAACATTTGAGAAAATCAATATGGTAAACCTGAGCCTCAACATCCCTGATAAATGCACGACCCAGTAGATGACATTTTTTGTGTTGCTACGTCTTCTGATGTTTGTTGCGTGTGATTTGACATTTTTGTTTGTCCTTTTTATGCAGCTTTAAAATCTCAATAAAAAATATTACATTGCAACTGTGTTATTGTCTGTTGGCTGTTGTGCACGTCTCTGTTACAACTTGAGCCACGTATTGAATGTATTTGTCCGACCACCATGTTTATTATTATTATTATTGTTACATAATAACTTTAGTAAAAGGCCTTACTCACTGTTGGGTTAAGCAACCTCAGACTCACAATGTATTTACTGAAAACAAATCCACGACACTCTAACATTATTGAGCCACAGAAAATGCATTTTTAACACATCACATATTTTTGTGTACTGTAGATTTATGAATAGCACTGTTTGTGTGACGTGTCTGTGTGCCTAAGTGTTTCCTCTACTGGGTCTTGCACCCCCGATAAAAGACAACGCTCTCGTAAATTTTATACAATACAATTGCAAAATTGCAAGCCACATTTTGCAAAACTTAACTGTTATGCAGTCTTTCACGTGCAAATCAGTATTACTGACTTTTACATGTAGACATTACTACTAATACGACGTCGATGAGGTTAACATTAGGACGACAACGTATTTTTGGTCAGGAACGGGTCACAGCATATTTTAAACAGTTTGGCTTAATTTTTGTATCACTGTAGGATAGTGAAGGTTCATTTATTTGTCATGCCTCTTTGGTGTTAACTAAAATACGTCTCTGCATTTGATCTAGATGTTGTGACTAAATTGGATAGGACTGTAGAACCAGAAGAAGATAACATGAGAAACACAGCCATCACCTTCATCCTTCTCTTCCTCATCACGCTGCTGTTTGCTATTGGAACCACCGCTTTCAAGGTAGTGCTGAGTCTAATTGTTGTAATCAGAAGCATGTATTATACATGAGAAACAGACACAGCTATAAACTTTATTACATTATTAATAATTCTAAATCCATCTAAAATAAATGTTAATTTCCACTTATTTTGAAACAATTTACATATTTGTAAGGATAGTTTTATAGATTCCCAATCACCACATTATCTTTAATATAATATAGTAATATATTGTTTTCTATGTTCAATAGAAAGAAATGCAAATGCACATGTTAATATTCCATAGAAATAGATGATAAAGCACACTTATATGATAGGAGCAAGGTTGCAGCGTTAGACTTTCCAACAAGCCTTCTACTGCATGGCTGTTGTTTGGTTTTAAATCTAATTTCCATCTGATTTTATTGATTTATTGGTATTTTACAAAATATTCATCATATTCTACTGAAAAAGACGTGCAGCCAGCTGTTAAGATGGTAAAATTCATTTGACACAATCAAAAATCAAAACCCAGTTCAAATATCAATTAATCAGAAAACAAAAACAAGCAAATTACTTAAAAATAAAGCCTTCTAAACTTTAAACATTTTACATATTGTGACAAAGAAATCTGTCACTTTACAAATAAATTAATTAAACAATTGCCTCAAACTCCAACAGTGATTCCTATGTATTATTTTGACATATTTTACAAAAACTAGCCTGTGTTAATTATTAAAATTCACTCAAAATTAAATGGATGCCAGTAATATATGTTTATTTACTTGCTTTTAATACTTCTATTGTAACAGAAATATGAATTGGTTCCAGTATTGTTTTCATTACTTTTCATAAACATCTTTTTTGTCTTTTATCATTTCAGATTAAATGAAGCGAGCATCTCTCTCTCTCGCTTTGTCTCTCTGTCTCTCTGTCTCTCTCACTCACCCACACACACACACCAACACATACACCAATACACACTTCTTTATATCCCACTCACTTTTAATGTAATTATTTGCTCGTTGTTTATTTGTTTTTGTTTTTCATTTTTTCAATTGCATGTACGCAGCTTTGGTTGTTTTCCAAAATAAATTTTTTGGTAAAACAGACCTGGTTATTATCTATTATTTCTGTGTTATTTTAAAGCCGTAGGATTTATTTTTCTTTACTGGAAACTAGCTTTGGAGATTGTGTAGTCCGGCCAACGTTTCAACTTATTTGTTTTAATTATGTCATGTGTCTGTTCATCACCACCTGCATCCACAGAGTGTGTCCATCTCGTTGTGAGATGGACAAAAACTGCCACTCAGTTTCTGTTCTCTCAGTTTTAGCCTTGAACCCTGAAACCTTGATGACAGTTACAAGTGGCCACATGCTGTATGTGAAACATGTAAACAGATATTCAAATGTACACCCTGTTACTGTAACTGGAATAACCACACCTAACACCTGCTGTCACTGACGCACCGTTGCTTCTTCAGCTGTTTCACTTCTCCTTTCTGGGCTTCTTTTGTACCTGGGTGTTATTCACTATTTCCGCTTGCTGCTCGCTGTGGTCACTCTGCCCTGTCACGCTGTAACATCTGTGTAAATTTCCACTTGACTGCAAGCAATCAGCAATACTCATAGTACAACTCTGCCATCTAGCCTAAAAATAGAGACATTACATAGAGGACAAAGCA